AATTATTTATTATATAATTAAAAAATAAAATTTACTATAATATTATATATATTTATAAAATTAATTTAAAAAAAAAATTTTTAATTTTTTATAAAAGTAAATCAGAAGAGAATTTATAGTAAATAAGCAGACAAATTTGCCTGCAAACCTTTACAGTTTAAGAGATAATACTGATTTTGATATGATAATAATTCATCAAAAAATTCTTAAAAATGTTGATTATGATTGTTCAGCTGATGTACCTAATATAATTATTTTAGAAACTGACGGAATTTCAAATTCAGATGAAGGAATATTTTAATCTACAGAAATATATAAATAAGATTTCAAATTAGAACTGCATAATTACTTAGATATAGTAGCTGATGAAGCAATCTTTAGAAGGTTAATTAAACAATGAGAATAATGGTCAAATCTACAACCTATCCTTGGCCAATAGCATATATCAAAGGATATATGTGAAGTTCTAATTGTATTATTTTCAAGCTATGGAATTTTTTATCTTGCAAAAGTATTAAGAGTCAAATTTTTAAATAAACTTGATAAAGTTGTAGATTACCGTTCTACAGTTGTATCTTAGAATTAATATGATGTATAGTAGCTATTGCTATTCACATTTATATGAAAAAAACAAAACTCAATAAAAATAATATTATGGATGAAAATAGTGGTGCTAATAGTGTTTTGTGAATATGATATCTTTATTATAAATGGGTATTAATCTTCAAAGCTCATCATATTAGAATTCGTATTGATAATTATAAATTATAAAAAAATGCTCTGGTTTATTTTGCAGGATTATTTATATCAGCAGGAAAATCAAATTATTCAGTATCTGTTGTAAAATACCTTAAAATACTAGCTCAATATCCTAAACTCGAATGAAAAATTAGAATGTGTATTATCAGTTAAAATTGATGATAATGAAAAACAAAAAGGTTACTATTTTGCTTTTGATGAAACATTAGAGATATTTAGCGTTAAGTTTATTAAACAGAACATTACTGGAAATGTAATTAATGTCAATAATTTAAAGTTACAAGTTAAAACTGTTCAAAGTGAATGAGATCGTATAGGAATATTATTATCAGAATATCTTAATAATCCTTGTAGATTAATTAGACAGAGAGCTGTAAATACCTATAAATCAGTTATGTGAAATCTTGTAAATGAACTTTTGTTATCATTTTGCTATTCTGATAAATATAATTGCTATCAAAATCCTTTGTGAAATACTATCTCTCCTAATCAACTTATAGCAAGCAGTATTATATATTTTAGTAATTATTTCCCTAATGGAATCTCAAGAATTGAAGCAATTTTTTTACAAGATGTCATTTCAATACAAAAAAATAATAAAGTTGGAAGGAGAAAGCTAAGAATTATAAAATGGAAACCTAATGATCAAAATTTAAAAAGAAAAAGTTATAGCTACTGTTGCATTAACATCACAATCAAATACAGAAAATTCTCATCAAGCTATTTCAGACAAACAGATATCAACTGATTTAACAAATATAGTAGATCAAGATAGATTACCAAAGAAGAAACAAAAACAAACTCATTGTGAAACTAAACTTGAAGAAAAAGAGATTTTAGAACTATTAGTAACTTGTTCTGAATATTCAACTAGTGATCAAATAAATCAGGTTAGAGAAGCATTGGGAAATGAATGGAATAAGAATCAGATTAATCAATATATATCTTGTCATAGGTGTAATAAAAATAATAACTATGAATAAATTTAATAATTTTACCTTAAATAAAATAAAAAATTCTTTAAAGTTTCATTATATAAAAAATAAATGGCATTTTTTGTAAGAAATTCTATTACATTTAGTTTCTTAAAGTGATTACGTTAAAAGATTTGCTAAAAATAAAAATCGTTAGATACTTTTTTTTATTTAAAAGTTGGTAACAAAAAAATCTAAGATTTTAATGTCAAAAATAAGTAAACTTGCTGATAAAATAAAATTTCGCAGAAAAGCAGAAAAGGTTAAACTTTTAGTTATTTGATAGAAGAAATGCTATTGAAAAAATTATATTAAGAATAAAAAATGATTATGTTGTGATTTAAAATGAAAGACTTTTAATAAAATAACTAGACAAATGTTAGACAAGAATTTTTAATTATGATTGATATGTAAATTGAACATGCATACTGACTAATAATAAAATACAATTAATAAAGTCATTTTCAGCTTCGCAAGTCTACAAGCTAAGTTGAAATGACATTAATGCTATTGAAGCAGAATTTGGATAGTTATTATGTCACGGTCATGTAACTTTCACTGACCGATAGATTGTGGGTTCTCAAAAATGTACTCTATTAATTATACATTCTCAAATATGATAAAACATCATCAATAGTCATATTGTATTTACGAACTATAATAGAAACTCTCCTCTGAACTCCTCAGTTGATGTCTATTTGATCATGTAACCAACTAATGTTCTAAACTTTTTTGTTGTCTGGCAAATCTCTATTAAAATCTTCTATTAAAAGACCATACTATAAACTAATTATATGGCAGATATCGTTCATTATGTCAATCCTTTTCTCACTAGAACATTTATCTAAAAATAATTAAGTTTAAATTTAATATAACTAAGCATCTGTGTTAGACCAAAGTATACATACTTTCATTATTTTTATCTACGATTATTCTAGCGTTTTCTTTAGCAATCACACCTTCCCAGTCTTTTTCTGAAACTTCAGAATGTTTTAGCGGTCTAGATTGAATACTAATTCATATAACTGTATCATCAGAGTCGACTTGTACAAAGTTTCTTTCTTCCATGCAATTTTCATTTTTTACATAAAATTTTCCATTTTATGAATAAAGAATATAAGTTTTAAACTCATAAAAAAATAGAAATGCTGTAATTGTTTATTCTGAAATTCTCTTATATGATATCATAAATGTGATCTCATAGTTTTCTGCACAAATCGTATTTTCACCCTGCAGATTCAATTTGATTGGACTCAATTCAAAATTTCTATCTCGTGATCTAGTAGTCGTAGAGCAATGAAGGATCAATCAGGTATTACAAATCAATTCGTTCTAGTTGAATATCGATTTCATCATATAGAAAAACATGTACTTACAGTCTAATGTATCTGCATGAGCCAAATATTTAGGATACTTTTAATTAAGGTCACGTTCGATCACATAATCAATGGTTACGTAAATAAAAAAATTAATTTTATGCGTAATGCACACTACAAAAATAAGCATATTTTTAATTTTAAAAAATTATTATGGACACCAGATCTCTTCTTAACCAAACTCGTCAAAATGTATAGCTCAAGAAAAATTTTTGGCAGAAAGTGGCAAATACTCTTAATCATAGATTTTGGGTATTTTTATCTTCCAAAATTTGAGTTCGTTAGCTTCTATATTATGAAAGTTTTATGCTTTTTGCTTGCTAATAGATTTGTTCTTCTCAATATCAACTTTGAAAGCGTTGTGAATATATTGCTTTTAACAAGACATAATAAAGTGAGACATTTTCGAGTTATATAGTATTTTTTTGTTTTTTTGTGAAATGTTATTGGTGCAAACTAGCATATGTGAGGATAAGTGTGATAAAAAAATTTTATTTCACTATATGCGAGAAATTTATTTGTTATACAGACCTGCCATTTATATTATATCATAAATGTTACTATGAAAATTGAATCAGAATTAGTACTACTTTCACACTTGCCCATCTCATAACAATCAACGTAAAACCAGAGGCCTGTTTACGATCAATCTAAAGCAATATCTATAAAATTTTGAAAAATACGATCATGTTTATGATGCTCAGCTAAACTTTATAATCATCATTAAATAGAAAGACTAAGAATCCTAAGGGAACTGTTTGATTTTAATGAGGTTACCCATTATTTAGAAGTGAATCAATTCTACAGTATGATTTTATTAATAGAGTAAAATTAATTCGAAATGCTTTCTTGTATAGCTAGAAAAATAATTTGTAATATTTTTTTATTGTATATATAAATGCTTTATTTATGAAATAAAAATGTTGCTGAAGCAACTGATACATAAAAAATAAATTTGCGAATTAATTCGCTATTATATGAATAAAAATTCTATCTTGCAGTTCCATTTCTACTGACCTCTCTACTATGAATATGTTTTTTTAAGGTTTGGATTATAACACTATCAGCTACGAATTCAACTTTATATAAAGCCAAACTGGTCGAATCAATATCTTGAAATCGATCTAGATGACAGTTTCTAATTTCATCCGCAAGAGAAGAAATTAGTGTTAGATGTTGGTACTTCAAAAATATCATTCACATTCTTATTAGGAATGAAACAATTAAGAATAATGTCTCTACCAGCGAGAAACTTTTCAAGCTTATCAGGAATCTTAGACTTATTGAGCACCTTGGTCTTATCAGACATTTCGCTTTCCTAATATAAGACCTATTATGAAAATTTTTCGCTTACATGCATACATAACTTCTGACATATACACACCTTAATTATTTTGCGAAAAGTTAGCTGAACTTACACGAATTCTTTCATGCTTTATATCTTGCTAAAGAAAAGAGCGCTAAGCCTAAGTTAAGGAGGTATGAGGCATAATTAGCATTGTTGTATGATGTCAAGAGCTTCATGAAAGCATATGTAAATAGAATCTTCATATCTTTTCACATGGAGATCTATCTTGCAAGACATATAGTTAGTTTTACGCCTAGTGATCTCGGAATTACAAATCCCTCAGCCTTTCATAACATATGCTTTTGTCAGCACTATTTACTTGTAGGGAAGGTCTTGTATTACATGTAAACCTCCTTTCACATTTTCTCACATTTGTTTTGGAAAAAAATAGAAGTATTGATTAGTATATATAACTTCTTTCGATATGCAAAAATTAATATGTCATGCAAGATCTAACTGGTGATTCACTTTTTCTGTTGCATAAGAGTACATGTATTGTAGATCAACAAATTCTTAATCACTGCTCTGGATTAGTCTGAGTATCTTAAATGGAGAGGGTCATTATTACTATAGATATATTCATTTTCTGATTCAGTTTCAAAGCTGGATGATTCCGTTTCAGTATACTCTGAATCATAATACTCACTTACACTGTCAAATTCACGATCATGTTTAATAAACTTAATTATTATAACCTCTTCATTTGAATTAATTACAGTGAAATTAGGGAATAATAATTCGTAAAATGTATATAACAGAGGAGACAGTATATTAATATTATTTCTTAGATAATAAAGTCTTTTCTCTTCATTATTTTTTTAATATCTGGCATCCTGTTTATCAATTTACTTTCCTATCCAAATTAGCCAATTATTACTTAAAACCAAATCATATTCAGGCTTGTCAACAACTACAAAAGTTTCTGTATCCGTTATTACCAGAGGTAGTGATTTTAACCTATTGAATATATTTGGCAAAGAAACGGAAACTTCTTCCCTTTGAAGCTATCCTAGGATTCCACCTACTATTAATATAAGTCATCCCTAAATCTAAGGTAAGGTTTATATATAAAATTTTAAAAAACTATCTTAAGCTTATAAGGTAAGTTTACTTACAAAGGGTCTCCAAAAGTTTACGCACACTTTTTTATGCGAATTTACTCAAAATTTTATTAAAAAATTAAGCAATTTATAAATAATAAATAATGTTCCTAGACTATTAAAATATATATTTTATTAAGGGTTTAATACTTGGTCAGACCACCATTTGCATTTATTACTACCTGAATTTGTCGAGGCATACTTTCGACTAAATTTTCAATTTTTTCAAAAGTAATTGATTTCGAAGCCTTTTGTACTTGTCGTTCAAGTGAGGAAATGTTAGTGGGCTTTACTTTTCAACTTCAAAGGATTTTTTAATTTCGTCTTATAGATTTTTGATCAGGTAAGGTCGGGCTTTGAGCAGGTGGGTATCCAAAAGTTTACGCACACTTTTTGTATGAATTTTAATCATATTTTTATTTAAGCAAATGATCTACAAATAATTAAATATTGTTTCTAGAATAGTAAATTAAATTTTGTATTAAGCTGTTTATTATTTGATCAAACCACCATTTTCATCTAAATATATCACCACCATCGCAATATAATAAACATCGCAAACCTTGCAAAAATCATAAACCTGCACGATTTGTTTTATGCACTCGTAATTTGAGACGAATAGCCTGCCCAAAGCCCCAACTTTAACTCAATCAAAAATTTATGAGACAAAATTAAAAAAAAACTTTTGAAGCCAAAACATAAAGCCCATTAACCTTTTCTCACTTGAATGATAAGTATGAAAGGCTTGGAAATCAATTACTTTTGAAAAATTGAAAATTTAGTCGAAAGTATTTCTCGACAAATTCAGGTGGTAATTAATACAAATGGTGATCCAACCAAGTATTAAACCCTTAATAAAATTTATATTTTAATAGTCTATAAACATTATTTATTATTTGTAAATTTCTTAATTGCTTAATAAAATTTTGAGAAAATTCGTATAAAAAAAGTGTGCGTAAACTTTTGGAGACTCTCTGTACATATAAAATTTGCAGAGACTCTACGAGCTTAGCTTCAAATCTTCAGTTCTTACCAATTTCGCCTTGTCTTAAACCCAAACAGAATAGTATATTTTTTTTGATATATTATTTGGAATTAAAATTGGGTTAAAAAGGCTATAAGAAATGGATTTATTCTTGGTATCTAATAGGATAAATTAATGCCAATTTGATACCAAATATTTAAATAGCAGGAAACGCTCAAATTTTGACTAGAGTTTAAAATTCTATAGTAAATTCTTATAGCTAAAAGGCTTTGAAAATATGATTGGAAATCTTTTTGAATATATTTTTCAGATTTTGACCTCAGAACCCTCATTTTGCACTATTGCCTTCTATCAGAAATTTTAATCAATCAAAAAAATAATTTATTATAGTTATTACAGTTAAAAATTGATATTATTAATAAAGGACAATATGTTATTATTTATGATAAAGAAACTGAAGAAGATTGTATTTCAACTGCACATTTACAAATTATTCAAGCAACTTTAGATATAATAATATAAAAATAAAAAAATTTATTATATGTAGATATATAGTATATTTATAGTAAACAATATTAAATTAAAAATTCCTTTAGAAATAAATATGAAGAAAATTTTTCTATAATAGTATTAGAAAAGTATTAGAAAGACCTTTTTGAATTAAATAAAAGAAAAAAAGATTAAAAAGTTGCTTAATAAAGAACAAAAAAAAATATCAATATTTGAAGACTAAATGAAGAAATTATATAATAATTTTTTGAAATAATAAAAAGTTCAAAGATTCGAATTCAATTGAAACTTAAGAATGAGAAAATAATTTAAATAAAAATACTAAATCAGAATATCAGTTAAATGTAGATTTGAAAAATCTTCTCAATAAGATTTTAATAAATTCAAAGTATAGATAATATTTATAATAAAATATTTGAATTATATCAAGAAAAAAAATGAAAATAATGAATATAAAGATATTAAAGTAATTCTAAAATAATATTCAGTTTGTTCAAAAATATAAAAATAATAAAGAGATAAAAATTAAAGAAGGATTAAAGTTATTATATAAAAGTTTAAAGAAACTAACAATATTATTAGATTATTTATAGCAAAGTATTATATTTTATTTAAAAAGGAAATTGCAAAGTTGCTATTATAACATTAAAGAATTTTATGATATAAAATACTAATAGAAAAGTAAAAAGAGAAAGAGTATTAATAATATAATTGGCAGCTTTTAAAATAATAATAATAATAACAATCATTCATATCATAATTATTAATAAATAAATATATAGTAATTTTATTGATATTAAAAAAAAATTTATATCTTAGTTTAATTGATCTTCACAAGGAATAAGGTATATTAGAAATTGATAATGATTACACTTTTCTATAAGTTGATTTTAAATAAAGTTAAAACGTCTTCAAAGATACTTTAGGATCTCTAAATTGATATTTTTTTCTCAATGAATAAACTGGAAGTCTTCATTAAGTTTTTTATAATTCTTTAAAGTTTTTGATTCTTATTTTTTTCTAAAGCAAGTCTTTTCCATTTATACTCAAGAAAAAATTTAGTAGTTTGATCTAAGGAAATTGATAATTAATTTTTAAAGTTAAAATTTTCACTTAAAGATCTTTTGGATTTGAACTTCCTTTTGAATTTTTTAATAAGAACCTTTAGTTTGATAAAGAATAAAAATAAAAGTGTTAATCATTACTGCAGTTAACTAAGTAAAGTTGAATAAATTATCATATTTCACTAGAAAATAACATTAGTTATATATATTCAAAAGCTTATGATAAGCTAGTATATGTTTAATATGATTAAAGCTTTCAAATCAAATTATTCTTAAATCTACCTATCTTATCTTGAGAAATTTTTTCACTTCTAAACTTTTTATATTGAGCTGTACTTTAATGTTAAGAAAAAGGAGATTTCTTTTTGTTTACTTAAAAAAATATAATTTAAAAGTTTGTGATAAATTTTTAAGAAAGGAAAAATTTAAAGAAAATAGATAAGATTTCAGATAAGATATTTATAGATAAAAAATGCATATAAAGATTTCTTAAGAATGTGAAAACTTCCTTTTTATAGAAAAATAAACAATTAGTTATTAGTCTAAAAATTGTTATTGATTATTATAAAATATTTTAAAGAATACAAACTCATTTTATTAATGATCACGTAATATCTGCATAATACTTTCTTGATCAATATTTCTTTATTTAGTATAAGTTTAAAAAATTTTAGTAAGCTGCATAATTTTAAAGTTTAACAAAATATATACATGAGAATTAAGAAATATAAAAATGTTAGATTTCTTGAAAAAGAAAATTACTTGCAATATTAATATAATTTATATATTAAGAAAAGTTAAATTGCATAATCAGTTGATCAAAATTTTGTGTTCAATATTTTTTTGTAATAGATTTCTTAAATATTAGATTTTAATAAGTTTTTCTGATATAGAAGAAGATTAGTATATCATAAATGAAATCAGATTGAAATAGTTAAACCATTAAATATATATTTTATTTATAAATGATTAACTAATATATTACTTAACTACATTTACTAGTCCAATCTAAAGAACCATTCACGAAAAAACACTTCAAAAAATATTCTAAATAAAATAATTTTCCTAATTACTATGTAGACCATTTAACAGAAGTTAATACTCGTTCTTCCTATAAATCTTTATAAAATAACTACTCTTTCAATAATACTTTTCTTTAATAATAATTTTCAAATATAGCATATTTATTCTTTAATGAAGTCGATCTATGTAAATATTTTAATCAGATATGAAATATGCTAATCTATCTGCCATAAGTAGTCTCTTTTTCTTTGTTTTGTGCTTAAGTTTATAAGAACATAA